GCCCTGCTGGGTAACAGCCAAGGAGCCGCACTGTTGGGGGCCGAGCAGGGGGGCAGGGTCAGCAGCGGGGAAACCACTGGATGGTCTCAAGCAAGGGAACGCCATGATCCTGTTCAAGTTTTAAGACCCTTACTCTGGTGGAGGATGAACCAGAGGGGGCACGGGGAAACGCAGTACACTGTTCACAGGAGCCTAAAGGTGGAAACAAGCCCAGTGCCCATCAGCTGGTGAATGGATGCAAAACGTGGTGTCCCATACAATGGACTATTATTCAGACATAAGAAAGAATCGAGTACTGACACACAGTACAACTTGGATGAACCCCGAAACATTACGCTCAGTGAAAGAAGCTCGTCATATAAGACCACACGTTACATAACTCCATTCACATAAAAGTCCAGAATGAGTATATATAGCGATAAAAAGTAGATTTATAAAGACAGAGAGTAGCTTAGCGGTTGCTTAGGGCCTGAGGGTGGGGTGTGCAGCGGGGATGACACCCAAAGGGTTTCTTTCTGAGATGATGAAAATGTTCTAAAATCGATGGTGATCGGCTGCAAATATCTGTGAACGTACAAAACAATACTTAACTATAAACTTTAAATGGGTGAATTATGCGATACGTGAATTATATTTCAATAAAGCTTTTTTTTTTTTTTTTTTTAAAGTGGATGCAGTGTGGAGGCTACTGTAATCTTCCAGCTAAGAGATGATGGGGGAGGGACCAGAGGGGTGGACAGATGGAAGGGAAGAGGTGCCCCAGGAATACGGCTCAGATCAAAGTGTGGGTCTGGGAGACTCCGGTCGTGGGAGGGGGAGTCAGGGGTCAAGGCCAAGCAGGTGGCAGCGGGCAAAGCCAGGACTGGGCCCCTGCTGTCTCAACCCCATGCTCTTTTCCAGAATATGAAAGGTGGAGCTTGGAGAGACAGCATTCGTTTTCTCTTCCACGTGTAATGGTGCTATTTTAAGAATGTGATCTTGAACTTTAGGTCAGGAAGATTAAAATTTAGCCTCCTGGATGAGAGCAGACTCGGGGGCAGAGCTCGGACAATGGCACATCCTTTTACTGAAGGACTGAAAGCAACTGGGGAGCTTTCAGAATAAACCCACCCTGCAATTTTGTTTGCTGGACGCTTCCACTGTGGAATCCCTCTGGTGTCCAAGGTACAATAGCTGGTCAATCACAGTGAAGATGTGACTCAGTGCCTGGGCGAATGCCACATACGTAATACCTTTCAAGAAGACATATTTTTATTGCTGCACTTGAGGACATCCCCTCGGAATCCGGAGTCCACCAAGTCGACGGATGGAGCGGCACACAAGGCCCCAAGTTCACTGGGGTGGAGGCGGGCGCTCCCTCCGCCACGCCAGCTCGGACTGCAGTTGATACAGGAGGCTCCTCTCTCACTCTGTGGTGAAGCTGAACTTGCGTGAAGTCCAGGTCTGAGGATGCCTGCTTCACGTGGCATCTACATGTTGTGCCGAGAACTCCAAAGAGGGAGGAAAAAAACACAAACCCTCCAGGATTTATGATGGGTCTGTTATTTACACAGAAGTGCTTGTTGCTTGACAATTTAGATGAAAATGTTACTGCCTCTCTGCATGTGCTGCAAATTCACGGCGTAAAACCACTGGAGCAACTAATGAAGTCTTCACACATCATATCTTGTTAAAGACAAGGAAGGGGTCCATCTTCCACCGGAATCACAACCCAGTGGTGAGGGGCCGCCACACCTGGGAATGCAGCCTGGCCAAAGCGGGCTGGCCCACAACTCAGATCTGACCAACTGCCCCACAGCTCTCTCATTATTTTTTTTTTAAGGAAACAATATGACCTCTGTTTTCAAATAGCACGGTCCTGTGGAAACTGGTGTCTTGTTTATCCCCTAGTCCACCGATGGTGGGAGAAACGCTGGACACTTACACAGACTTTGTATCTCTCTACTTCTGACCAAACAAACAACCCATCTTCTTCTAGGAGTCCTTGATAAACATCTTTAAGCACTTGTCCATGTTTCTACAAGTAACTAAATAAATTCCAGTGCCACGGGCATGAATGGGAAATTGGTGGCTAGGCACCAAAAGGTATTACTCGCTGCTATTGTGTCTCTAACAAATGTGGATAATGGGGTCATCTGTCCGTTTTACTATCAAGCTCATCATCCTCACGTGCACCTTTAATTGAAACGTAACCTTTCTATCCCATATTCCAAGCGGGAGCAGGACAAAAAAACCACATCTCCCGAGATGAAGATGGTGTGAGTTTTTCCCCAAGCGCATCACTAAAGGGACACTACCTTTACTCTTCTGTTGAGTTAAAAGCAAACTCTGAAACACTGGCTTTTTGATCCCTGATCCGGCATTTCAGCTCCCCCTGGGCAGGCGCTGGGGTGACTAAGCACAGCCTACTTCTCTTCAAAGCCCTGGGCGCAGCCCGAATCACCTCCAAGAGCTCATGCATCGACCTTTCCCCAGCCAAGCTGCCAATCTCCACCAAACTCTCCCAAGGAGAGAAAGACAGTAAATGTTAAGTCTGCCCAACTCATTTCATAGGTGACCTCTGAAGGATTTCACCGCGGAGCTTGGGAGAGACAAGGCAGCTTTATTAGCATGCTACACCACAGCCCCAGGCCCTCCCTCCCTCTTTTATGAGCCCTTGCTATATAAAATGCCACAAAGGAAAAAGGAAAAACAACACACTTACAGTTACAAACACAAGTTCCGATGGCCAGGACAAACGCTGGATACTTACCAGATGTTGTTTTTAGTCATTTAAAAGAGAAATATTTTTAAAAGGCCAGAGAACAAAAGTTTCTGTTTTTTTTCTTTCTTTCTTTTTAAACACACACTCACACACACACACACAAAGATGGAGGTACATTCCGTTCACAAGCAAGCCTTCTCCGAGTTCAATTTTAAAGGCAAAGGCAGCCTGGAGTAGGACAGTTCCTTCGCCGAGCGGCACCGCAACCTTCAAACATGATTTTCAAATGTTCCTCTCTGCCTCATCTAAATTCAAGCATGACAGATAATAAATAGCCACTCATTTACTATCATCATAAAAATTTAAACAGCCTTGGAATAGTTGGCTACAATACAGAAATGATCAAACCTAAGCTCCGAAAAGCCACTCCAAACAGTAAAACTACTGCCATGAGGAAGCACACATAAAGAGACATTGTTGCGATAAAAGCTGCCGGATTATTGGATTTTCTCTCTCTCTCTTTTAAATCTTCTACTCCGAGCATAAGAGTCAACAACTTGCCGTTTTACCCAGTGAAAAAAAGGCTTAGTAACCCTCGGCTATCACACTGTACCAGATTTGGTGGTGGATTTTTTTTTTTTTAAAGAAAGTATTTGATTTGATTCCATACAGTGATTAAACATCTTTGTGCTCAGCGGAGAAGGGTCTTCCAACCCCTCCCCCTCCAAAAATGGCATCAAAGCAATCAAAATGGTAATGCCGGGCCTGGGTCCCCTCCCCCCACGAACTCCCCGACTTCGCCGGGGCCGCGCGCCGCCCCCCCACCCTCCGGCGGGAATGGA